TCTTTCCCTCTTTTTTTTCTTTTTTAACTTGTCCTTTCCCACGTTTGGTGACTTTATTACTGCAACAGTGAACATACCGTTCATGGTACTTAATTTATACCAATGTTAACGCCTTCTCACCCACCAGAATTCATTCTAGTACAATTAGATAATAGGTGTGAAAACACTTTGAAAATATGATCGTAACAAACAAATGTAAGAAAGATTGTGATAATAATAAATGCACTATTGTTTCCTTAAATAACCTTTCTTTCCCTGAATATCTTGCTATTATTTTCTTTTCCCTTAGTCATTAGTTAACTAATTAATATCTAGCATCTTGAGTTTATTTTGAGGTTAGTATAGTATGTCCCCCGTTAATTTTGTTACAATGAAAAAGAATGAAAACTATGCAAGCACATTCCGATTAGGAATTTCTCCTTTCAGTATGACAAAGAAATTACTGTCAAGAACACAGCAGTGGCATGTTCCAATAATTCAAGAAATGGAATATGTGACTTGCCAATAACCCCTGGAGAAGAACTGGAAGTCATTGATACCACTGAAGAAAATCTAGTGATATGTCGCAATTCTAAAGGCAAATGTAAGTTACTGGCTTATTGCCCATAAGATTACAATCACTGTTTTTTAAAAAAAAATCTCAAAGCATTATAACTTTCAGATTAGTGATAGTGATTTTTATTTCTATAGATGGATATGTGCTAATTGAGCATCTAGATTTCAAGTAAGTGGTTTGATTTTATACTTTAAATAACAAATTCTAAATACATAATACATTATTGTGTCTATAAGTCTCAAGGAAAGACTATTTCATATATTTAAATTCAGGAAAAGTTTTTCAATATGCAAATGCCCTATTCTATAAGGATTACTTGGAAGAGACTGTTTTTGTGTCTGCCGCTCCTGAGGTTATCAAACGTCTCTACGGAGCATATTTATTAACAAACATTTTAAAGGAGCATAAAAATATTAAACTGGGGGCTTCCCTGGTGGCGCAGTGGTTGAGAGTCTGCCTGCCGATGCAGGGGACGTGGGTTCGTACTCCGGTCCGGGAAGATCCCACGTGCCGTGGAGCGGCTGGGCCTGTGAGCCATGGCCACTGAGCCTGCGCGTCCGGAGCCTGTGCTTCGCGGCGGGAGAGGCCACAACAGTGAGAGGCCCGCGTACCAAAAAAAAAAAAAAATTGAACTGGATAAAAAATTCCCCTGAAATCTCCTACTCACTATTCCATGGACCTGTATTTCAAAATGTTTGTCTATTTTTGTTTTTTCTCAGGCATGAAGTTTAGTCACCTTAGGAAGATCAAGATCAAATAGTACAGTCTGCACAAGTGAGAACTCGATCTACGGTCTCAGTCCTGCCTCACATCAGTTTACGTGTCAGCATGAGATGGTGGAATCTGTGGAAACTTTCATCAGGAATTTAGAGGAGAAAAACAAACCCTCCACATTTAGATGTTGATTTTGCTCCTAAGCAGTTATCTTTCAATGTCTATTTCAGTATCTATTTCACTGCTGGCTC